GCCCTTGTGTTCTCTTCCAACTCTATAATTCTATGATTCTATGATTCTTTCTATACCAACCAGTTAAATGCTGAAGTCCTATTTAAATAGAGGTCTTTGGAGAGAAAAGAAAGCAGAGAGGGAGCCAACCAAGCCTTCCTTGGGAGGGAATTCTGTACTACTGTTACTACTACTACTACTACTACTACTAATTCTTATCTCTTTCTCCCCAAAGATTGAGGTGGGGTATAATATAGATTAAAACACATAAAAATATTTAACACATTGAGTTAAAATATATAGGATACATTAAAAACATAGGATACATTAAAAACATTGAACATAAAATTTAAAATATATACCAGTTTAAAAACTGTAGATTAAAATAGCCTTGTTAGAGGTAAGTCCTTAATTCAATAAAGAAATAATTACAATAAAACTGGGTAGAGGCAAATACCCCCTCTGAAGAATTTTTCCAAGAAAACTCCATGATAATTTCACCTTAGGGTCTCCATAAGTTGGAAACAACTTGAAGACACATAAGAACAATAGCAGAAAATAGCAGTCTGGAAGGTTTGGAGGATTTGAGGAATGTAAAAGCATCATTTGGGGAGCATATGCATCCCTGGTGCCACACTCTTCCAATAATAATAATAATAATAATAATAATAATAATAATAATAATAATAATAATTTATACTCCGCCCCTCTGAGAACAATTGGGGCGGCTAACATATTAAAAATACAGAGTTCAATCAACCCCCCCATACCCTCCCCCCTTAAAAAGGTATTAAATCAAATAGAGATTAAAATCAAACAGATTAAAACTAACATTAAACAAACAGCAACGCAGACATATACACAACATTAACACATTAATGGCAAAGCGGCGGAGTCATATTGAAGGGAGTTAAGAAAAGTTCCTGGAGGACTCTCCTAAAAAGGGGTTCCCGAGGCCGGGTTACCTATCCTTTGACCTAGGCAGGTTGGTTCTAGTAAGAACTCACAGTTTTTCCCAGGGGTTTTTCATTGAACACATACAAATCAAAATGTACTCATAATTGCATTGGAAAATAGTAAATATTGCTGTACAGTTTCTAACAGGGAAATCAATTGGCTCAAAAATGAAGAATAGGCTAATACACACTAAGCAAATAAAACAGATCATTGAACGAATAAAATACAGTTCCATCAATCCGTGTGTTTGCAGTAGTATTGGTTGGGAATTATCTGAAAACTCTTAACACAAGAACACAGAAGGGTCTCAAAGCAAACAAGAAGCAGCTAGAAAGCAGTAGGAAATTGAAAAAAAGAAGATCAAACAAGAAATTAATATAATACTGAAGGGCCAGCATGGCATAGTGGTTTGAGTGTTGGACATGACTCTGGAGACTAGGGTTTGATTCCCAGTTTGGCCATGAAA